ATATTAAGTTATGGCTGTTACTAAATAGTAGATCTTTTATTTGCTGATCAGATCTAAACTTGTGCTCCATGATAGTAATTCTCTGAGGCTCCTCATTAGATAATCTTCGCAGATCTATCTTGTTTTTTCTCCAAAAATGTATATTTGGGAGACATTTTGTAATTTGGGGCATTTTTCTGATTTTTTTCTCCTTTTGCACACGGTGGGCGATCTTTTTTGTTTTGCATGGATCTGTGCTGGTGGCGCTGTATAGCTCTCAACAATTTACGTCAGTTTCACTAAAAGAAAAAAGGAGGAAAAAAAAAAGAGGTGGGGCAAGATTTGATCTATTATCCTCTACCTTTATTTCCTAAAAGAAAGTTCAATTTGGTCAGAGGAAATTATTCAGTTGTATTAGTTTAACGTTTTCTGTGAACTGTGAAGGGTGAGAACAGACACGTCGTCACAGCCCGTCCGGGGAGCAGCAGGGCCGAGCATGCAGTTTGCAGTTGTGTTTTTTCTGGTCTGATTATCTCTAGATCAGAAAATTTTCGATAGTAAGCTGTCAGCTTACCCTCTCTTTCCTCAGTAACATTTTGCATTTTCCTTCTATCACAATATCATCCATTGCTAATGTCTTCAATTGAGCAAAACGTTTTGCGTTTTAGCTCACTGAACGTTGTAAAAGTTGAATTTCATTTTGAACCTAGGAATTTCTTAAATAACTATTCTAAGTTTCTCCTGGGAATTTTCTAGGAGTTTGACATATAAGAATGCCTACGTTGTTGTTTGTTTTATTTTGAAGTGATACTTCAGTTGGATTTATGTACATCCTTGCTTTAAAAAGAGCAAATATTTTGGAATAGGATAATTTTTTTAAGAATATGGATACAACTGCTTTTAACTTTAAAAATATTGGTGTTTGTATATCTAAATGCAGGGTAAATCTTTTCCATCTTTGTTCTTATTGGGAGTTATCTGATTAGAGAATATGGGATTTAGGCCCAAAGCCTCCCAAGAACAAAAATGTATATTATGATATGACATAGTTTTTACTGGTCCCTGTGAACATTTTAGTTGTTTATGAAGATAGTAAGTATGTCCTTAATTGAAAAAGAAAGTGGGAGAAATCAGTCATTGTACCTAAAAACACATCATTTTGCCAAATAAAACAAACAAAAAAACTGAAATAGTATCCTAAACCACCTTTTCATATGATTGTAGAGATGATTTCTTGAGTAAAAATTTCTGGACTTATTATTAAGTGTTGTTATTCACTTTGAAATATGTAAATGCTCATTTCACTAATCATTAAAATTTTGAAGTAAAAGAATGTGTGAAAATGACTAGGAATAGTATTTCCAATTTCTGTGTCCCTATAATTTATTTATCTGTGTAGGACCCTTTCCTTGAACTTCAAAACTATTTATATATTATGCCTATATTTTGTTTATACTCTGCTATAAAAATTTGAAAATGTTCACTGTAACATTTTATCTCTTCATAAAATTTAAATGCCGCCATCAAGACTGGTTTTGACGTTATAGATTATTTATAGAATGGAATACTGCAGGTGTAAATATATTATCTAACCCCCTGACTGTGCTGGAGCTTAGTTCCCCAAAGTTAATCTACTGAATAAAATATACTGCCCAATATGTTTATTGCTAAAATATTCTGTTATTCAGCTGGTGACGTTTTTCATTTTAATTTGTGAAAACTAAAAATGTTTATATAATGTAGCCCCTCTTTTAAAAACAGACTGATGCTGTGAAGTCCATATGTAGCTATGCAATGTTCTTTGTTCTCCTATATCATTGACTATTACATCATTGATTATGAGTAACCATTATAGTTACATCTTCACTTTTTAAAATCACCCATAGATATTTATGTTAAAGATATTCTTCTATCTGTGACTCTTACATCACTAAATAAGGAGGTTTAAATCTATGAGGCAAAAACAACTCATTGTTTTATATTATTCTCCATTTTTAAATCCACCTTGGGCTTCATTTTAGCTCTTCATTCTTTGGACGTTAATTTTTTTTTTTTTTTTTTATTGACAACGTTTTGTAGGCATTTAGTTTGAGTTTGGTGAGATTATGATTAGAATGATTATAATAAACTATGTTTTATCAGAAAAAAATCTTTATTTATTAAATTTGGTGTACAGGGAACTAACTCAGTTTTTCATAGTAACAGTTGCTAGATCATGAACAATAAAGAATTATTTTTTTAATCTTGAAATGTCATTTCAGTCAACAATTACACACTTATTTTTTCTTGCACACCTTTTTATCAGAGATAGTAGCAAGTAGCAAAATTGACTATGTTAAAATATCGTTATCATTTTTTTCACCCTGCCCATCCCTCTGAGGGAGGGGGAGGGGTCAATGAGTAGTGAAATGGCCAAAAAACAGTTTGCAGAAAGAAGAAATAAATAATGCCAAAGACACGGAAAATCTGTAAATCAAATTCCAAACAATAAACCTCAGAAATACGAACTTGAAATTATGAGCTTGGTCAATAATGGAAATAAACTGAAAATTTTATTAAGACTTCATTTAGTGAACCAACATAATTTCCTAATTTATTAATTTGTATGCATTAGTATTGCTAAAGATTGGGGAAATTTTCAGGTTAGCAAACCTATTAGGAAAGATGAAGTAACAAAGGGAAGAAACATTTGCAGTGATATCAAGATGACATCATAAAATGCTGAAAATATCAATTAGCCAGAACCAATCTAATACACCTTGGAATAAACTTTTTTAAAAGAAGGAAAGATAGCTAAAAATTTTGCCCTCTGAAAACCAAGTTCAATAGAGACCTGAAACTGTATATATTTCTAATTCCACCCTCTTTTTGTGCGTACTTACCTGTGCTATTTCTTGGACATATCATTACATGTTTTGCAAAGGAAGAGACGGGGAAAGAAAATAAGAGACCAAATGGGTGTTTGTGTTATGACTTTGTTTTTTATCTTTCCCAAAAGATTCTCAAATGGAGACTCTGAAGGGAAAGTAAAGCAAAGATAATGATTTCTTGAAGAAAAAGATGAAAGGAGTATCCTTTATACTTGATTTATTCAGCATTTTTTTCTTTTGGGGGTATGTTTGTTCTAGTTTTTCTTCCTATTATGTGCTATGATGCTGAAGGGCTGAGATACAATATTAAGACAAAGAGGCAAGGATCCCTGCTCTCAGGGAGTTTACAGTCCAATGTGGTTCAACATTTTAAAGATACTTAAATCTAAGATCTTGGATGTGGGAGGTTCCCATCTGAGAATAAAGGCAAAGTAAGATTTCTGGGGTAAAAACTTAAAAAAAATTTTTTTAATCTATTTATATAGGATTTAACAAGTGTCCTTCTGTCCTTCTACTAAAGGACCATTATTTGGGACACAGTGAGGGGAAGATAGCCCTCAGATTTTAGATATAGCCCAAACAGATGCTATATAAATAGCTGGTTAGCTAATGCAAATTCCTATTGCAAAGTGAGAAATAAAATATTAACTTATTCGCTTGAGAAGAAAGGAGACGGGGATCACTCTGGTTGTAGGAATTTTGGATGTGTCCTTGTGAGGTCCATTTAATGAAAACTTTTTTTTTTAACGTGGTGAAGCCTCATTTTGTACATTTTGCTCTCCTTGTCATGAAATAAATGTCAGTGTCAATAAAAATGGTGAGATGAAGCAGGGAAATACAATTATAGTGTTGAAGGATTACATCAGAATTAAGATATTTATTTTTATTTTGAAACCTGAAAATTTTAATGATATTTATGTAACAGAAATTTTTATAATAACCTTTTGTATTTTAATTTATGAAGGTAATATAATTAGACATTTAGCTAATCGGTAATTAGTTAAGTACATCAGATATGGAGCAGGAAAGTAAGACTGCTGTTATATATAGATGAATTGGAAGGGAAGGAACTCTTCATTAAATCTCTACGTGTGGTTTAAGATCACCTCCAGAATAAAGTCACCAAATTAGTTTGTCACACAGCCAATTAAGATACTAGATGTATTATATCATATAGTTTGCTTTTGTACTAACGTAGGATCCTACTGATAATGGTGTGAAAAAATGAGGAGATTTATTATTTCAACTAAATTAATAATCAGGAGGCAAGCCAGTTCTAGGTTGGGTTCAATAGCTCAACAATGTTATCAAGTTCCTTGGTAGGTTCTATTCTTTTACATTGCCGTAATGTCAGCAGTGTCTTTCCTCATAGTCACAAGATGGCTACTGCAGCTCCAAGCATCATATCCTGATATTACAATTTCCAGAGGGAGGAGAGTTTCTCTTATGTATCTTTTTAGAAGGGAAGAAATTCTTTCCCAGAGGCCCACAGCACACTGCTTCTTACAGTTCTTTGGCCAGGTTTGTAGGAAATGCTCATACCTAAACCCTTCACTGACCGGGAGATTGAAGTTACCTTAATCGGTTTAGCTAGGGAGGATCTTTTGGAAAGGTGAACACCTGCTGAGTAGCCAGTGCTCAATGTGGCTAGCTCCCATTTGCTTTGTATAAACTTTAATGGCTTTGTAAAAACATTCTTCAACGATAAAACATGAATATCTGTTTTCATAGAGGGCAGACTGCTCATGGATGCAGCTAATTTAGAAAAAAATAAACATTTAATTAGAGCTTACTATGTCCCAGACTCTAGGTTAAATGCTACCTTTATTAAATATCTCCTTAAATCCTCACACAAACTTTGGGGATAGGATAATTATTATACCCATTTCACAAATGAGGAAACGGAGGCTTAGAGAGGTTTGGCCCAGGTTACACAGTAAGTGAAAAAGGTGGAGTTTGAACCTGGAAAGTCTGAAATCATAGCCTGTATAACTACCTATTCTTCTATACTGTCACACTGGATATTTGTGAATTTATGTTCTGTAAATTGGCATATTTTAAATGCACTGTATGATACTCCTGTTTAAATGAATCCTCTAGTGACTAATTTTATAAATCTAATAATCTTTTCTTAAGATGAGTAGTGCTTACCTAATTTATCAGTTGTACATATCTGAATTTTTGTATTGAATTTGCAGAAGGCACATGTACTGCATCTCATCTCTTCAGAAACATCTCTGAAATTCTTTTAGAAGTTGCATTTCTATAGGGAAAAAAAGATCAGAGAGTAGAGAGTCAGTGAGGCTTTGTTGAAGTGGGTAAATTCATGATTCATAGCACTAGGTTGAAAGAGAATACTGGCTCCTATTTCACAACTTACAAGGTCAATTTTATGTACAAAATGTTTCCATCTTTGGGATGTATGGAAGTTTTCCCCTTGGGGGATTCAGTGTACCTCAAACTTGAGTGTGCACCGGAATCACCTAAAACACAGGTGTCTGGGCCCACACCTGGGGTTCCTGGATCAGTGGGTCTGGGGCAGGGCCTGAGAAGCTGCCAGCCCCCAGGTGCTGCCGATGCTTTCAGTCCAGAGACCACCCTTTGAGACGCTGCTCTAGAGGATCAGATGGTACCTGCCATGGTAAATATTCTGGCTTGAAATATGCCAAACTGTAAAGGATGTCATTTCATAAATGGCGAATATATGAATAAATACATATGCAGGATGAATAGGTGGTCAGGATATCCTGCTTGAGAGCTGAGCGATGACTTGAAGGAGGATTCCTCTTATCCTCAGCATGAACAACACATTTGAGACTTATTTTTCCATCAATTCATATATGTGTGTGTTTTTAACTTCAAAAAAAATTAGTCCATAATTTACCAATTATTTTTAAAACCAAGTAAAAATAGAACTTAGTTGTACTCGGTAGCAAGTTACATCTGAAAAAGACTTGTGTATCTGTGGCATTTTGATGGTTTTTCTCAAGATTTTATCCCACCAGCCACTAAAGCCCCACTTTCATTAAAAGGACACAGTTTTGATGAGACTGAGAAAGAGAGGCCGTCATGCCAATGACCTATATTTAGCTCTGAAACTCAGGCCGCTGCCCCAATGCACTGGAAACCCTCCATCCTCCCAAGACAGAGGTCACAACCTCCAGCTGAAAAACACTCTCACGTGCCAAGGAGCCAAGAGGGCCTTTCCAAGAGTGTAATTGCTTCACTGCTTTGAGACATAAGAAACAAGTTAGGGACTTCCCTGGTGGCCCAGTGTTTAAGAATCCACCTGCTAATGCAGGGGACATGGGTTCGATCCCTGGTCCAGGAAGATCCCACATGCTGCGGAGCAACTAAGCCCGTGCGCCACAACTACTGAGCCTGCGTGCTCTAACTACTGAAGCCCACACGCCTAGAACCCGTGCTCCGCAAGGAGAGAAGCCACCGCAATGAGAAGCCTGCGCACCACAACACAGCCAAAAATAAATAAGTAAATAAATAAATTTAAAAAAAAGAAATAATTTAGTTCTGAAGGCTTTTGCTCATTTTTCATTAAAGTCCAAGAAACAAACCTCCCACATAAATGAGTAAAAAACAGTCAGCCAATTCAATGTCATTAACATTTCCAGTAGCCTGTGTAAGTGTTGAGTTATCCTTGTATCCACTGGAGGCCTTGGCAAGAAGCTGGGATGAAGTACCCCGAGGAGGCAGCTTTGTACTGGTTTTGTCCAGTATCAAAAAGCGTCACTTAGCACCTGTGTAATAACAGACGCACATCATTTAAAATGGCCAGGACTGCCAGAACTGTGCTGTCCAGGATAGTGGCCACTAGCCACACGTGGCTGTATGTAAATTTAAATTTGAAGTAATTAAAATTAAACATTCAGTAGCTACACCTGGCTGGTGGTTATTGGACAACAGGTTTGTGGAATGTTTCTGTCTTAGTCGTTCAAGTTGCCGTCACAGAATATCATAAACTGGGTAGCTTATAAATGACCGAAATTTATTTCTCACAGTTCTGGAAGCTAGGAAGTCCAAGATCGAGGTGCCAGCAGATTCTGTGTCTGGTGAGGGTCCACTTCCTGGTTCATAGATGTGTCCTCGCACGGCAGAAGGGGAGAAGGAGCTCTCTGGGGTCTCTTTTACAAGGGCACCGATCCCATTCATGAAGGCTCCACCCTCGTGACCTAATCACCTCCCAAAGGCCCCACCTCCAAATGCCATCACCTCGGGGGCTAGGATTTCAATATATGAATTGGAGGGTGGGGGAGGACATAAACGTTCAGTCTGCAGCAATGTCCATAGTTGTGGAAAGTTCTCTTGGAACTTCAGACCACGGTAGGCTCACAATGTAGACCAGTGGTTCTCAACTCTGTCTGCACTTAGAATCAACCAGAAACTCAAAAATAAAATGCCTGCACCCCATCCTCAGAGGTTCTAGCTGATCTGGGTGGAATCTGGGCGTAAGTATTTTGCAAAAGCTGTCCACGTGATTCTATCGATATTACATAGCCAGGGTTGAGAATTGCTGAGCGACACTACGGAAGAGAGACACTAAACCAAAAATTGGGGTGGTCAGTAGATAGTGTTGCTACTTCTCATCTCAATCTTTCAAAAGCTACAATCCATCTTCTAGGAAGTGAGGAAGGTTCAAACTGAAAGAATAATTGGACAGTCCAACCAGTTCTGTCAACATATTCTGATTGCCTAATGAACAACTTTAGTTGGAAGAAAAATGGATCAACTGCTAGTCTTCAGTTACAAGTTACTTGATGCTCTCAAGAGTGAGTCTTGTATATCGAAAGACTATAGATAGTCTTGTATATTGAAGGACTTTTGGTCTCACTTATATAAACACCTCCCAACTTTTTATATACATTTATACATTTACTACATCTGATTGCCTACTTTGGTACTTTAGCAGACATTTTTAAGTTAAGAAAGTCTTACCTGTCTCATAAATTGAACTTCTAAATATGTTGCTTCTTAAGTTCTCTTTAATGTTTATACTTCATATAACTTAGTAGGAGTTCTACTTAAATGTGTAATAAGCTAACCTCTTACTCCATTAGGTCAAATGTTCTGAAACAGAAAAATTACATAGACTAAGAAAACATTTCTGTACTTATCCTAAATCTTTCTGAAGTTAAAAGATTCTTACCTACTAAGAAAAGAGTTATCCTACCAAACAATTTGTGGTGTTGCCTTCTCAAGTTTATTTTTTGTCTGCCTTCTCAGCTAATTGAAGTTTCTTGATGAGCAGAGATTTTGATTAGAACACAATTAGATCCTTGTCTGAGGCACTGATGTGACACAATGAGCCTTATTTATGTTCACTGTATCAAAAAAAACAAAAAACTATTCTCAAAGTCTACTTCCCTGAGATATTGAGTCATATCTTTACCTTTTTTTTTCAAGTCATGTCAGAATCGTTGGTCCCCGTACAAGTGGCTACATCAACTGACAAATATTTGGATTTCGCATTTCTTAATCTTTTAGAATATATAACTGTCCCTTAGAGACCTTTGAACTTGGCAGGCTTCTACATTCTTTGTGGGTTTTTTTGTTTTTTTTTTTAGTTCTCTTAATAATTTTATCTTCTGTAGATACAAATAAACATGTTTCAGATTTAAGGATTTCAGTTTCCCCCACCACATAAGAACACTCCCCATGGGGACAATCTTGTTTTACTTCCCATCTGCCAAAAATGGAATTTGATAATAGACATAGCTCAGTAGAAAAGGCAGACGTTACTTATAACTATTCAATTACAATTATGAGAAAACTTAAGAGCTGGCTACTTATACCCATTCCTGTGAAAAATAACAATCATCACAATAATAGAAATAATAGCTACCATTTATTGAGTTTTACTGTGTTTCAGGCACTGTGCTAAGGGCTTAAAGTGAATTATGCTGTGTAACCCTCAAAGCCCTGTGAATACTACCGTCCCCCCAATTTCCAGAGAAGAAGAAAATGGAGGCTTAGAGAAGTACTGTCTCAAGAGCCACAGAATTAGGGAACAGCGGAGCCAAGGTTGCAAGGCAGGCAGTCTGCCTTGGAACCCCTGCTCTTAATCACTGCTACAAGCTACAAGCACTCAAAGAACTCAAATAGAAGTCCCTCCCGTCCCAGGTTATCTTCATAAAGTAGTATGAAAAAGTGGAAGATGTAAATGAAAAAGGCCAAAAAAACCTCCGGTTATCCTGTTATGGGGGGAAAACACAAAAACCCCAAAAACCCTGTACTAGTTGATGTTACTTTTCTTTTTTTTTTTTTTTTTTTTTTGCGGTACGCGGACCTCTCACTGCTGTGGCCTCTCCCGTTGCGGAGCACAGGCTCCGGACACGCAGGCTCAGCGGCCATGGCTCACGGGCCCAGCCGCTCCGCGGCATGTGGGATCTTCCGGGACCGGGGCACGAACCCGTGTCCCCTGCATTGGCAGGCGGATTCTCAACCACTGCGCCACCAGGGAAGCCCGCTTGATGTTACTTTTCTTAATCAAGAAAACAAAATGCCATAGCATACAGCTCAGAGCAAGTCATATAATAAAAATACCAAGAAACAAAATAAATAAAAATGTACATATAGCATCATTAGGGTCACTTTAGTCCAAACAAATATAGAACATTCAAGAAATCAATAATCCTTGCAGGCTCCTACATTCTTTCACGTTCTGTCTTGTAGGGCAATCAACTCTTGCAGATATTAACAGATTTAACTGACACTGAGTCTCTCTCATGGCTTTGATCTGACTATGTGGTCACAGTTTCCAAGGCGATTCTATTGACAAGGTTTTTTTTAACTTCCAGATAGCTGACTGGAAGTCTCTCCATACACATTTCTGTTGAAGACATTATGAGAACACTTTAAATACACAGCTTTGACCAATCTGAGTTCCTCGGTCTGCCCTTTACGACGTGTGTAACCTTTGGCCAGTTACTCAACTGTGCAGAACCCCAGTTTTCTCTTCTATGAATCGAAGTGATATTACTTACTCACCTGGCTGCTGTGAGATTACAGTGGGGTTCATGCATGTAAAGCACCTAGAATGGTGCCTGACATGACATAAGCACTCAGTGTGCACTTTAAGTTCATTTTTTCACAGTCACTCCTGATTTCAGGGATCAAAATCAGTCTTACTTGGTGTGATGGGAATTAAAAAGACCACTCTATTCAGGTGTAAGGTTGTTGCAATATTAGAGAGGCTCCCTTTGTCCTCCCCCAGGTCCTCTACAAAAAGTCAGTGAATCAGCTA